GCCCGACAAGTAAGATATCTGTTTTAGTCAAATTCAAACTGAGAGAGTTGGAGCTAAGCCAGGTCTTTAACTCATTGACACATGACAATAGAGATGCAGTCTGGTGGAGAGAGTCAGGTCGGCAGGAAGTGTATATCTGAATATCATCGGCATAGCAGTGGTACTGTAGACCGTGGCGGCGAATAATTTGTCCGAGGGGCATAATATAAACAATAAATAATAATGGCCCTAGGACTGAGCCCTGTGGCACACCCTGTTTAAGAGGGACAGAGGGAGATTTATAGTTATGTATGGTGATGTAGTATTGTCTGTTCGTCAAATATGAGGAAAACCAGGATAACGCAGCTCCTGAGATGCCAATCTCTGAGAGGCGCATGAGTAATAGCTTATGAGAGACAGTATCAAATGCTGAGCTGAGATCGAGTAGTAGAAGTATAGAAAGACTGCCCGAATCACCAGAAAGGAGGAGGTCGTTTATAACCCTTACTAGAGCAGTTTCAGTACTGTGTTGCGAATGAAAACCTGACTGAAATATATCAACGTGTTCATTGAGAGCTAGAAATTACTGCAATTGAGCGGCAACAACCTTTTCCATGATTTTTGAAACAAACGGTAGGTTGGAGATTGGATGATAATTAGTGTAATCAGTTGGGTCTAGAGAATAGGAGTAACAGCAGCAATTTTAAGTGAAACTGGAACAGTGACAGAGATAAGAGACATGTTTACAAGATGTGAAATTGGAGCAGAAATGAGAGAGGTGTAGTGTTTCAAAAGGAATGTTGGTGCAGGGTCAGCCCAGCAGGAAGAAGAATTGGATTTCAGTATTATTTCACTAATTAAGGTGGGATTAGTCAAGGAGAAGTTATCGAGCATTTGAATAGACCGAGCTGGCTCACAAGTAGATGTGGTCAGTTCTGCACCAAATGTCCCACATAAAGCGTCCAGCTTACCTTGAAAATGGCGTAAAAAAGAACATGACATTTCTTATGAATGACTTATGACATTTCGACTTCGACATTTCGACATGACTTATGAGATTTCGACTAACCTTGTAAATAATTTAACAGGCATGAGGGAAACAAGCCACCATTTAATAATCACGTCAGTATCCACGGCAGATGATGAACCATAATACCTGGAGTGAAGCACACAAACATATGTAACATGTTCTTATTTATGCATCTTAGCAGCTGGCTAATATGTTTGGTGTAAAATCACTTTAGCATGAAGCTCATTTACATGCTCATGTTAGTTGTGTTCAGTGTGTCAAGGGCGTTTGGCTGGATATGAAGGTCAGAATGCAAACCACTCCTCCTAGCTTTGCTCTCTCTCTGTGGTACCATCTGTCTTCATGTGAAACATGCCTGTGAAACACAACACGCAGACATCCACATACATGTTTTGTAGTGCTTCAATAATATCTACAGTATCAGTGCAATACAATCAAATCTAATTAGCAAAATTATCATTATCAGTGCTCATTATTATGTTGATGATTTAATTATTCAGTGCATCATGAAATTTGTACGTATTTTCAAAACCATGCTGAATATAGTCATATGTATTATAATTATAATATAATTATAGTAATTATTAAATTCTGTAATCAGTGCATTCAGTTTTCATTTTTGAAATCGATGCATCTGTAACTGCTACTCATTTCTATTTACACAAATATGTAAGGCAGTGGATGTAGTTAGATAAATGAAGGTGGAGATTTGTAAGTATTTTTTCGAAATTGTTTCAATTTTTGTTTGTATATGTAATATGATACTGATATGGGATCTACAGTATGTAAGATGTACAGTATGTATGTGTCCTTATGTCCTAGCATGGCTTATATTTGTGTTACATGCTGTTCACTTTGCATGACACACACACCCACACACACACACACACGCGCACACACACACACACACACACACACTCACACACACACACACACACACACGGAGTATGAATCACTTTCATGTGGTCATATGACACATCAGAGCTCCTGCATGTCTCCTTCTGCTATTCCTGCTAGTATTCAACCAGTACAAATAAAACAAATATTTCAATACCTCCACAACAAGCCTCATATTACATTCATTTGATGTTGCTGAAAACATTTCAGTACTTTTAAATTTTATGACAATATTTAATATGTGCCTTGATATTGATACATTTGCTCTGCAATGATTTTTAATCAGAGATCACCAAAACATTTGACAATGTACAAAAAAAAAACAATGTCAATCTGCCTCAATGGGAAGAAGCAAAAGTCTACAATCTACATCAAGTCTGTGCCTGTCGCATAAATAGCACAAGAGACCTGAGTTTGATGTTAGCATGTTGCTAATGTGACAAGAAGCAAAATAATTAGGGCCGTCAAGTGATTAAAATTTGTAATCTAATTAATTACATGATGTACCAATTAATTAATTGAATTATTGGCAAATTAATCACACATCAGTTTGGGCTGAGAAATTACCCCCAAATGATCATTATTATGTTAAATGTGAAAAGCATCGAATGAATAGACAATACAAAAAGTGGCTTTAGAAAGAAATATTTTGATTCAACATAAAGTTTTAAGGCTACAATGTGGCAATAACATTATTTTGTAGAAGCTGCATCCAAAGTGGCATTTATGTACAGTATATTTACACAGACTGTTCAGAGGTGGCATGAATGCATTTACACTACAATTAGAATTGCTATAGAAATAGAAATGCTATGAGATCAATGGGTGTTAAATCAGCATTTAAGGTATTTTATTTTTATTTTTTTATATTAACAAATGAAATGTTTTTTTGTATTTTGTTAAATGGAATATATTCTAAACATTAAACGATAACTACCAGTAGGATAGATTAGTGCATATATTTGGGTTCAAATAAAGAATAATTGTCAATAGACCATTAAGATATTGAATAATTAGGATTTTTCATATTTTATAAAACACTTGTGTTTAGAGCTGCTTTCTTACTCTGTACGACATACATACTGTATCATGTACGTTATTAAATATTATTACAGTATTCTCTGTCAATACAGCCAGCCTTTATCCAACTGTGAAAACTTCTGTGCTTTCCATATATGTGCATTACTTTTTACTTTTAATTTTTTACTTTTTACTAGTTACTTTTAGGTTTTAACAGATGGATAAAGGCTGGTTGATGGACAGCGGTCAGTTTAGTGATCATTTTGCACAAATATTTAACAGAACAATGCTAGAATCAGCCGATTAGAATTAGGTATTCTGACGGATCAGCCATCTGTCTAATAAAATGCATAACGTTTGGTTGAATTAGTAATATTTTTATTGTTGAACTTCAGCAAACCTCTGGAGTGTTTGACAGTATTTATGCCTCTGTGAATAAAGGAGCAGGGAATTGGAGAAAATGAGATGCACATTCCTGTGGGAATCTTTCAGTCATTTGGCTCTCAGGATGGATTTGGTCAGGAATGAGTCTCAAGGGCTTCAGAAGGAGCGAGCGATCATCTTGCAGCCTCGGGGAACGTGTACTATGAGATTTTCATCTGCCTGTTGAGAGCACTTATATTCAGAGTTTATTTTTGGAAAGCACAACATTTCATACATGTAAAGGATTTTTCAAGCAATACCTGAAGCGATTTAATCACTCAAAACTGAACAACGTCTCCATCTGCTGTTAATGCACAGAACAGCATTTAGCTTTCAGGACTGAGGACAGTTCCAGGTTATACTGTGATGATGCTGTTTCTCTATAAAGGGGAAGCAAACATAGTGCAGACTGTACTCTTATAGTATGCTTTACTTGTCCTTTTATTCCTTTCTACTTTTTCCAATGGAAGGTCAATTCCTTTTATGCAGCACCTGTAAAAAAATACTGTATATGCTTGAATATTGTTCACCCAAAAATGAAAATGTATTCGCTCTCAGGCCATCCAAGATTAGGATGAGTTTGTTTCTTCATCAGATTTGGAGAAATGTAGGATTGCATCACTGTCTGACCAATGGATGCTCTGCAGTGAATGGGTGCTGTCAGAATGAGAGTCCAAACAGTTGATAAAAACATCACAATAATCCACAAGTAATCCACACCACTCCAGTCCATCAGTTAATGTCTTGAGAAGAGAAAAGCTGCGTGTTTGTAAGAAACAAACCAAAACTGTTCACACGAAGAAACAAACTTTCTACAAGACATATATGCTTTATCATAGTTTTTTTTTTCATACAAAGTATGATTTGCATTTTTAAAAATCTGTCCAATTTAAATACATATGATGGGACATAAACATGTACTGCATAGTTTAAATGAACCTGCGCATGTCCTCCTTAATTTTTGGGTCTGTTTTCACTTTCCCGTTTCCTTAACTAATATAATTTACATTCACTGCATGAGATGCAAAAACAGCACCTTCAGGACTCTCATGTCCGTCTCCTGTAGATCCTTTTTTCCCCCAATTATATCCCATTTGCTTTTCTGTCCCCAGTACAGAGCCTTTGATGGGATGCCATGCTTTATTGAGTTCAGAAGAGCGAAACACTAATTGGGAATTTCTTTAAGATTTCAGTTCATTTCACAAGACAATGCTCTAAATAGGTCATTAAATTCACTAAATACAATGATTCCTTTACTAAATGATAAGATTCAGCATGAAATGTGACTATTACGGTAATGATAAAATCCATAATCAATGTATTGAATTTATATTATTACTGTAGATAGCAGATTCAGTGCATCAATGCATTTTTACACCCCAATTGTATATATCAAAGGCTCCGTTCTGATGTTTTTTTTAAATTTAATTTTATCCTGTGGGTTTGTTGTTGAGTTATCCGCTCTCCTCTCCTGTTTTTGTTTTTTCACAGCCAGTGTTGCTGTCCTCTGGTCAAACCCCTCTGTACACCTCTGCGGTCTCCACACTGGTAAGAACACTGATGCTTTGCTGCCCCTGCTGTCCGGGAGGCAGAACTGCACCTGTAGGCTGCAGTTATGTGATCATTTCATCCTTTTTCATGCCATTTCATCAACGACAGCCATATGAAATCATAACAACCATGGAAATAACTCACAGATAACTCACATCCCCATCTTGATGGTTTTATCTATAGCAGTGGTTATTTAGGAGAAAAACAAGATTTCAGTTTCCATCTTGATTTTTAGTATTTAAACCTTTAAATTATATATATATATAGATTCTGGTTCAGTTTTTTTAAATTATCAACAAAATAACAGTAAAAAAAAATAATTTCAGTTTAGATTTATCCTTTTAATTAATTTTTATTTTAACATGTATTATTATTGTTGTTTTAAATAATTGAATAATTTGCCGAGGCCCCCTGGTTTGAGAACAAATTGCCATTTTGACAACAGCTATTGGAAAAAAGCACGAATTGCACTTTCTTTGTGACATTGTTTTTCACAGTGGCATCATCATGATTGTTTAATTGTTATTATCTTGATAAAGGTCACTGAACTGCGTCATCAAATTGTCAAGTCAAATTCAAGTCAGTTTTATTTATATAGTTCTTTTCACAATACACAAAACTCAAAGCAGCTTTACAGAAAAACATGATGTTAATGTTTATAATATCTTAATATCTTCACGCCTTATAGTCGATTCGAGCAGGTGGATAATATAGTTACGTTTTGTGATGATACAAGCAACCAAGCGGATGAGATTTGATCACCCTATGCAAGTATACTGTATGTATACTGTAGGTATACTGCATGGATTGATGATGGGACCAATGACATTGAACACACACACACCACTTTAAAAACATTGAACCCAGTCAAATTTAATTGCTGCCTAATTAAAATCAATCCGGAGCCTGTTAAGGCCATTGCACTTTTTGACCACTGCAAAATTTACTTACTGATGAAGAAAATCAAGTTGAAAGTCATAACTCGTCGAGTGGAAATGACATAAATTGTTGTGACAAGTTAAATGGATGAAGACTATTTTTATTTTTACTATTTTTTCTGTATTGCATGTCAGCTTGTTTTTACAGTGGCTTCCATCATATTTCTATATGGTATTTCTCTGTCGCCTGAAGTCATCATTTTCTCTGTGCTGTCACATCCACTGCGGTAATATCAGCAAACTCATCACTCTGCTGCACAGTATCAACTTTAACCCCCCCACACACACAAACAACTTTAAACCCCACACACACACACACACACACACACCGTTTTATCCATACAGGTACACTTTTATATTCTCTCTGCAGTTTCAGCCTATTATTTCTGACAGCTCGTATATCTGCCCAGAACAGTGTTGTTTTCTTCAGGTTCTGCTTATAGTCATACGTAACCTAACGTCTTCGTATGGGATGGCCAGACTTCAGTTTTCATTGAAATGCTAATCTACTGATGAACAGTTTGTCAGATAATCTTGTTTAATGATCCTGCTTCAGTTATGCAAGTAGAGAAACAAAGAGTGTGTGTGAGAGATCTCTGTTTGATTTCATCCTTCAAAATATGCAAGTTATTTGAAAACACTGCAATGATTTATTGTCGTGAACGTTTCTAGCTTGGTTTGGTTTATTGAATTGTCTTTCTCTTTAAATGCAGTGTCTTAAAGCGTCCTGTAGAGGACAGTGTGCTGTCATATATATATATATATATATATATACAGGAACTGATTAGCCAGTGGCAGGAAACTTGAGCTTGTTATGCTTCAAACAGTTATGTTTCACTGAAGTATCTACTTTGTTTCTTCTAAAATGCCTTAAAGGATATAAAAATAGACACAAATGTGCAATCCTTGAGAGCCAGATAAAGTTAGATCACTTGGTTCAGGAGTTCATATTGTCATTTCAGACTCTCGGTTGATTTTGTTATCCTGGCAGATCTGAGCACGGTTTGAGACGTTGGGATCTTTTAGAAGAAACTTAGGGATCTTTTCCTAAAGAGGAAAATCTGAGAAGCAGGAGGTTTGATTTGTTTGCTGTTTTAGGCAAGACTCTACAAGTGAATAGGGTAAAAATGCTGTCAACAACCTAAAATCAAATTAATTTTTAATTTAATTAATTTTAGGGATAAAATGCATATAAATCAGTATCACCTTAAGAATATTGATACTGTAAAACAATGATATGATCCGTAAGTCATGGCAACTTATGTTTTTACATAACTTTAACTCATCTTAACTTTTTCACAAGTTATAGGCCTATGAAATTCAACTAGATTTTTAAGTCGGTTTAATGTAATTTAAGTTGAAATGACTTGTACAACCAAGTCAATTATACGCAAAAAATATATATAAATTAAGGCATGCAACTGAACATAATTTTTTACAGTGTCAAAAACTGTAAAGTTTGGTGTATGTAAGTGCTGCTGAAGTGGAGAAAAGTGCATGAGAAAAACTCATGGCCTTTAAAGATATGTATTGTAATTTAAATCTACAAGATGTGAAGTGTAAGAGAATAAACACTTAAATGTGTATTTTGGATGTTTTCTTTCCATTTCTAACGGAGGCAAAATCGCCTCAAATGTCAAAGTTGACCAGTGCATGAAAAAACTGTGGTTAACCCAGAGTGTCTCGCCTTAATCTCACTGCTGTGTAGGAGAAACAGCTGAGATATGAAGTAGATTTGACTGTGGAAATGGGATCTTTCCCATATGGACACACAGCACTCACGAACATTTCAAACAGGAGGTTGAGACGTTTAGATTCTGGTGTCCATAGCAATGGGACTTCTGCTGCTGATATTAACACGTTTGAAGTGCCAAGAAGGCAAGTGAAATCATCCTGAGCTTTCCTCTGCTCTCTCTCTCTCTCTCTCTCTCTCTCTCTCTGACTCTTTTCCATTTCTAAATGACAGGCTGTAGGAAGAGGGGTAGTGAGATGAGGAGAAAGTGAGCACACACACACACACACACTCACACACACACACACACATGTTGTGTTTCCATGTTTTATGGGGACATTCCATAGGCGTAATGGTTTTTATACTGTACAAACTGTATGTGCTATTGCCCTACACCAACCCTGCCCCTAAACCTACCCACTTTGTGCATTTTTACTTTCTTTCTAAAACTCATTCTGTATGATTTATAAGCTTGTTTCCTCATGGAGACCTCAAAAATGTCCCCACAAGGTCAACACTCACACACACACACACACACACACACACTCACATCTATTGAGTCACAGCGGGATACAGGAAACAGCAAACCCTGAACACTCATCCACAGACAACATGGATTGAATGAGTACAAGCGAATTATTTAATCATAACTAGATAGATAATAGATAGATAGACAGACAGAGTTGATTTTGTTGGTCAATCGTGGTTTTTTGTGGTCAAATTTTTTATTTTATTTTTTTTGTGTGACCTGAAGCTAAATCTACATTTATATAAAATAATTAATGCTATTTTGTTATAATATTTAATGCTTAAATATTATACCAAAATCGCCAAATGTGTCTCTTTAACTACACAACTACACATGTGAACAGTCAGTCAGTAATGATACCAATCTAGGGTTATTGTCATTAATTAAAACTAAAACCATATAAAACCACATTTTGGTTTTTTAGATTTTGTTTTACTTAATCGGAATTGTACGAAACTTGGTAATGTTTTTGCCACTTGCTATATGAAAAAAAAGGCTAAATGCTCCTGAAAAAAAAAAAAAGACCCATTTGTACTTCTTGCGGTCCAAAAAAAAAAAAAGCATTGAAAATGAATGGGGAAAAATACTGAAAGGTCAAGCTCAAATTTGGAAACTTTCAAAATGTTTAGATATGGTATATGGCTTTGATTTTCTCACAGTTTTAGAGTAAAACATGTTTTGAAAAGAAAAATATTATATAAAATTTTAAAATAATAAAATTTGAAAATAATATTTTTGTGCATTTTTATATACAGTATATTATTTTATATACAAATTTATATATTTTATATATATATATATATTTTTTTTTTTTTCACTCTTGGTCTCTTTGGAATTCCGAAATAATCTGCCATGTGTTTTCTTTAAAAAGAGACCAAATGTAAGTCTGTGCTCCAAAGCATTAAAGATGGTTCAGTTGGAAATTTCATTTTTAGCTCTATGCTCAAATAGTGGTTAACAGTTTGAAGTTTGAACACAAAACTTCATTCCAAGTCTGAAGCAGTGACTTGAGCTGTTCCAGTGATTCATTAAGAGAATCATTTGTTCATGAAAATGGACTACTCTGGTCACGCTCTAGTCAGAAAAAACAAAATAACACAAAAGCATAACAGGCATTATTTCCCTATTTCTTTTGCCATGGTGCTGTAGATTTAAGCTAATGGCAAGGAGTAAGAAGCAGTCAAATTAATTAGCAGGTGCAGCGTGCCTTACGCATTTGAATGTGTGTGTGAGTCTGTGATTGTTGCACTAAACATTATAGGGACAGACGCAGCTCTGTTGCATAACCAGCTCTGCATGTGACTCTAATTGGCTGTTGGTTTGATCATTTGCATATCTGTATAGGCTTAATGTTACAGCACAAACGTCTTTGCAGTGCATCCTTAAGTTACAGCAATGTGTGCATCTTGGAACAATGTAATTAATAAATTATCTTACTGTTTTCCTATAAATGATAGTGAATAAAGAGCTGAGATAATGAAAAATTAGAAATGGATTGAAGGAGAGGGAGATGTGAATGGACTACAGGGGAAAATGATGTTAGATGAGAAGAAGGAGAGCAGGAGGAGCTGAAGGATAGAAGTGAAGATGAGTCCAGAGGGAAATCCAGGGAGTTAATAACCGCATCTAATTTACAAAGCCCTGATGCTGTAGATTGCTGTTTGTACCTGAATTTAATTTTGCTCTCTCTGAATCCCACAAAGGTCCGCAGGATTCAGAAATTAAGAAGGAACCACTGGGCAAGAGGGAATTTCAAACTGATAATTCATTACATTCATTACATTTTAGTTATTGTGTT